CACTGCCACTGGAACCCCTAAACCATACCAGGTGGACAACCCCCCCGTGGTTAATAAATGCTTTTATAAATGTTTTTTTCACCCACACATAGATCAAAAGAATCATCAAGGTTGGAAGAGACCTTTAGGATCATCAAGTCCAACCATCCACCAGCACTGCCACTGGAACCCCTAAACCATACCAGGTGGACAACCCCCCCGTGGTTAATAAATGCTTTTTCCCCCCCATATGGATTAATACAATCATCAAGGGTGAAAGAGACCTTTAGGATCATCAAGTCCACCAGCACTGCCACTGGAACCCCTAAACCATATCAGGAGGACAACCCCCAGCACCACGTGGTTCATCAATGCTTTTTCCCCCCCATATAGATTAATACAATCATCAAGGCTGGAAGAGATCTTTAGGATCATCAAGTCCACCAGCACTGCCACTGGAACCCCTAAACCATATCAGGAGGACAACCCCCAGCACCACGTGGTTCATAAATGCTTTTTCCCCCCCATATAGATTAATACAATCATCAAGGCTGGAAGAGATCTTTAGGATCATCAAGTCCACCAGCACTGCCACTGGAACCTCTAAACCATATCAGGAGGACAAACCCACCACAGTGGGGGATTGGAGAGAAATGTGGTTAATAAGCACTTTTTTCCACATGGAACTGTCAAGGTTAGAAGAGACCTTTAGGATCATCAAGCCCAACCATACACCAGCACTGCCACTGGAACCCTAAACCATATCAGGAGGACAACCCCCAGCACCACGTGGTTCATAAATGCTTTTTCCCCCCCATATAGATTAATACAATCATCAAGGCTGGAAGAGATCTTTAGGATCATCAAGTCCACCAGCACTGCCACTGGAACCCCTAAACCATATCAGGAGGACAACCCACACACACACATGTAGTTAATAAATACTTTTTTTCCCCACATAGATTAAAAGAATCATCAAAGTTAGAAGACACCTTTAGGATCATTGAGTCCAACCATCCACCAGCACTGCCACTGGAACTCCTAAAGCACTAAACCATATCCTCCAGGATGAGGTCAAGATGCCTCTTAAGACACTTCCAGGGATGGTAACCTCCCTGGGCAATCTATTCCAATGTCTGACCACTCTAAAAGGGAAATGTTTTTTCTAGTGTCTGATCTGACTCTCTCCTGTCTCAACTTAAAGCCATTCCCCCTCTCACTGAAGGCATGGCAGAAGAGACCAGTCCCCACTCCACTACAACCTCCTTTCAGGTAGTTGTAGAGAGCTATGAGGTCTGTAAGGTTTTTTGTCGCCCCTGAGCCTCCTCTTCTTATGGATGAACAAACCCAATTCCCTCAGCCATTCCTCATAAGACATGTCACTCTGCACTGTACACACTCCAAAAGCAGCAGGTGAGTATTTGGTCACAGCAGGACTTGGATTTCATTCCTTGCTCCCTCCTGCCTCTAGTTTGAGGGGTTCAGACCCCCCTCAGACAGAAAACCAGCACAGGAGGTGCATCACTTTAGCACCATGGGGACACATTGATAAGGGCTGTTTCCAGCTCTGGCAGGATGTGCTTCTCTTTTCCAGCACCAAAAAGGACAGATTTCCACAGAGAAAAAAGGAGCGATGGCTTTGGGCAAGTGCCCTGAACTGTGGCAAACCACATCCCAGTTTTCCTCATGGAATACACTTCGTTCATTTTCTAACTGAACAAGAGCTTTAACACACACAGCCCAGAAGAGCAGGTGCATTTCCAGGGGCTAACAGGCAACAGAAAGCAGATATGGGGCTCTGATCTCAGGGAAATTCTGTCCTTTTGAGAAACACATGGAAAAAGTGCACCCAGTCATTCCCCAGGAAACCTGGTCTTCCCTTTTGATAACTCACATCAGATAAGAACCTCAGGCAATTGCTTCAAGAGCAGAGAGGATGAAAAAACCACCTCTTTCAAGAGAAGCATTGCAAGTGTCTGCACTTGATAAACAAGTTATTCCTTAAAACAAGCACCAGCACCTGCTCTCTTTCAGTAGAGTCAGGAAAAAAAAGAGCTCTCAGGACATGGCCTCTGCATTTCATCACACAAACTCCATGGCATTTGGCCAGTTATTACAGATAAGGATCGGATTAAGACAGTCCAAACCTATCTCCAGGATCTGTTTAAGGGTTTATATTAACAGATCTAATGGAAATTGGATACCAGCTCCCTTAATCTGCAACCAATCATATGGACAAAACTCCAGAGGAGCTAAACAAAACACACTGACACAGTGTAGCTTCAGAAGATTTATTTTCAGTCCTTGAAGTAGACTGGTGCTTCTTTTGCTCATTATTTTCTCTCTATTACAGTTTTGGTTTTCACACAAACAGTAGTGAGAATGTCTTGAGTTGTTTTTTGTTTTGTTGGTTTTTTAAATTTAAAAGTGCAGCCTTTGCAGGAGCAATCAGCCTAGTAGAATTAATCACCTGTATCTCCTTAAAAAATGTACTTATTAAACCATGATTTAAAAAAAAAGTTAAAAGCTGTCAAGAGCATTTAAGAAAAGAGTAAGAAAAGGGCAAAGAGCAAACACCTGGATTACAGAAATTGTATATGGAATGAGAATCACCAGAGTAATCAGAGCACGGATAGCACAGTCCCAGCTCATACTCCATACTTACAGCCATTCCTATTTTGCAGACTCAAGGGCTAATCCATCAGGGAGATGTACCTGATAGTCCCTGAGGACCAAGCTGAAACACATACAGGGAAGTCTGCAAAAATTGGAGGGTCAGAGCAGCTGCCTGAGGGCAGAGCCTCATCTACAACTGGTCTGGCAGTGCTCAGTTTGGTCACTCAGCTTCCTTTCACCTGAAGGTTTAACTTCCCCCAGGCATCCTGTGGGGCTGCAAAGGCATCACAGCTTGTTTCTGCACTCCATGGATGGGACAGACAGCCACTTGTTCAGAAGTTATGCTCCTAATCAGATCCAAGTTGAGATTTATTAGGAAGGGATCCCTAAGGTGGCTTTAACCATCCTCACTTGCAGTGGCTGGTGTTGGACCCTGAGATCTGCCTGCAGGATGAGCCCCTGGAGCAGACAGAAGCTGTCCCTGCAGGCAGCCATGCCCACTCCAAGCCAAAAGGCTCTGCAGGCAGATTGGTGTCCAAGCACATTCCCGTGTTCACCTAGGATATCATTAAACAGAAGTGGGAGCCTGACTTGTGTCAGGAGGGGAAGAACTAGTCCAAAGTCAGGAAGTGGAGGACGGAGCAGAGAAGGCACTTATTTCTTTGCCCCCATGAAGCTGCTGTCAGGGGCTTTGCCAGAGAAATGCTCCATGTCTGGCAGCAAGGCCCTTTAGGAACACATCATGACAAGCACCAGCTCTGAATCTGCACACTGGGGAGAAAGTAGCTCCTCGTCTGAGAAATGCAGGAAGGGCAGAGGAAAGAGTAAGATAACAGGATTGTTGTGGGGTTTTTTTGGTCTCACATTACACTTGGTGCTACAGTTTCTGTCTAACAGATCAAGATGGCTAAGGGATGCAGCAGAAAGACACGAGCTGGGAGTCTCCAGCTTCCCTTGCTGTTCCTCTAAGGCAGGTTAGTTGAAAACTAGGACTGTCCACAGTAAAGAGTAACAAAGCACAGGTAACCTCTGTCACAGACCAGCAAAGCAAACAGTGCCCATTTTTCAGCCTCTCCTCTTCAAGGGAGGCTGGCTATGTCTCTTTCTGGAGGTGGACCGGAAGGTTTTGGGTTGCTTTCATTGGCTTTTCCTTCAAACATCATGACCCTGCAAAACACAACAGATAGGACCAATTACAAAAAGCAAGTGCAGCTTTACCCATCATTGGGGGTAGCATTATCTGCTGAAAAATAGCATCTGGCTCCTCTGCAAAGGGCACACGATAATCAACAAAGGAGGGAAAGCCAACAGAGGGCAGTGCTGCCAGCTTGGCTTTTCCAGCAGCTTCCAGGAGTGGGTTCCCAAAGTCTCTGCCGGTTTTCCTCTCAGAGCCCAGGGGATTAGCACATTTTATTTAGACAGCCACTTCTGAAATCCCCTGGGCACATGCTGCATGCCAAGTGCTCCTGATGCTAAAAGCAAACACCACCCCTGGCCCACCTTACACATAACCACACAGCAGAACATTCAGAAGCCAACACTGAGCAAGCAACAGCAATTACACTCCAGGGAGACAGCAGAGACAAAGAGGAAGGCACTGGCTAAACGAATCCCAAGCATTTTCCAACCACTAGCACTGTCTTCCTCCCCGAGGACTGCAGCTACACTGGGAATGCCAGCTGCCTCCATGGATCAAAGAGCTGCACTGCTCATAGAACAAGTTTTACATTTCTCTGCAGAGTCCAACAGACAATGGGGTGTCTGTTAGCAAGAGAAGGGACCCGTGTGTGAAAGCTGCTGCAGTTGGGAGGAGGGATGGAAGATACAGGACAAGCTGCAGGCTCAGCCTGCTCGCATGGAGAAAGAAAGGCAGAGCAGGGATGTCAGAAGTCTGTGTGTGTTTGGAAGAGGAGCATCCCAACACACAGACACGGGGCATGCAGTGGGGAGATTCACTGCCAGCAAGCACATACCATCTTAGAGACAGAGGTGGGGGCAAGATCCTTCCTCCAGCCTGGCCTGGAACCTGGCTGTGTTTCTAAAGCTGCCTTCAAAAAGGGCTAAGGAGGATGGAGAGGAGCAGCTCCTATTCATGGTGGTTACAGACACAAAAGCAGGGGCAGCCTCTGTGGCTGTGAAAGGAAAAGCCAGGCTTCAATGGAATGGAGATGGAGCCAAGCAAGTGTTGGGATGCCATTTGTTACAGCAGCACTTTCAGAGCCCTGTCGAGAGGGCAGAGGGGCCGTGGGAGGCTAGTGCTGGCAGTCTGTACCACAGAAAGGCTCTCCCAGCATGAGACAGCTGTTTCAAGCATGTGTCCCATCTCCATCTACTGCCCATCTCTCCAAAAATCAGATGGAGACAGAGCATCCTGTGGGAAACAGGAGGTAGCACTCCTGGTGTTGGCAGAACCATGATTCACCATTCAAGTCCTGCCACCATCCACAGGGTGAGCCTGTGTCCCCAAAGCCAGCAGGAGCCTCAGGGAAGAAACAGGAAGAAGTCCCACAGTGCTGAATGCCTGCACACCCTCGGGAAAGGGGCACGTGGGAGGAAGCCTGTGCTAACACACAGCAGGCAGCTCTGCTGTGAGCACTCACCACTGCTCCACCTGGACATGGATACACCTTCTCGTGTCACTTTGCAGGCTCTCCCCCTTCACGGGGGTCCTCATCTCCCTCCACGAACAGTGAGTGTGCACAGCTCCACCACCAGCAGACAGCATAGCTTGTGCTTCCCAGCTCCCCAACACACCAGCTCAGCTCCTGTGTCTCCCCCACCCCATCCCAGGACACTCACAGTTTAAGCACAGCAGAGCGTTTCCCAAGCATCACGTTGACAAAGTCCTGGTATGAGATGGTCTCACTGACCCCTCCAGTCACCTCAGAGATCATCTTCTTCAGTTCTAGGTGGGTCTTTGGAGCCCCCATCTTCTCCATCATCCTTTTGACAGACATCAAATCTACAAGAGCAAGGCAACTGGTGACCACATTGAGCACAGACCAACCCCAGGGACACAACCATGAGGTGACCACACTGAGCAAAGACCAACCCAAGGGACACAGCCCTGAGCGGTGACCACACTGAGCAAAGACCAACCCCAGGGACACAGCCATGAGTCCCCACTTGACACCAGCTCCTCTGTGGACTCCAGGGCTGACAGCATGAAACTGTTGCTGGAGGCCATGAAAAACCTTCAAGTCCAGCTTACTGCCACTCTGCCCAGTACAGAGCATCACTTCCCATTTATACAGCTTAAGTTAAAAGCACCACACACACAGAGAAGAGGGACAACTCTCCAAGTACTCCAGAAACACGTGGGGACACTGTTCTCTAGCTTGGAGTGTGGTGCCAACAATCACAAGGATGGGGAGGAGGGAAACAAGGCCGGGGTTAAAGCTGGAGACAAACAAGCCGTGGGGAGCAGGAGCCCCTGCCCATCACCACAGGCCATTTCCTTCCATTGCATTGCTGCCTGCTGAGACCTGTGGGCCCCTTCCCTCCCGGAAACCCTGAGTCAAACCTCCTCCAGCTCCCCACAGGCTTTACTTCAGCTGGAGGACTGGTGGAGGAGGGGAATGAGGCAGCAGCGTCCTGGAAGGGCACAGCTCACGAGTGGTTATACGTCAGTGTCAGCTCCAGACTTGTGGATCTTTACATAGCTGGTGCTTTCTGAACCCACAGCTGGGCTGCTCAGCTGAGCCAGACTCACACCCAAGTCCCTTGCTTCCCACTGCTCTCCTCCCAGAAAAGCAGAGGGCTTCTCTGCACCAGAAGTTCTTATAGATTTTTTTTCCTTTCAAGCCAGGCAAACCCTAGGATTGCCCAACACCTGCAATTTCCCACCTCTGAATTCCCAGCTTCCCAGCAGAGGATTGTGAAGAAGGACTCAATAGAGAAAAAAGGAGAAAAAAATAAGCATTTAGAGCAGAAAGAAGTGGAGGAGCTAAACAGAACTTCAGGGAAGCAGGACTGAGAAGAACTTAGACCTTGAAGCAGGTGAGGAGAGGCAGGGGCAGAAAAGCCAAGGAAGCCCCTGGCTGGCAATCAAGATCCAAGCAAGGACACAGGAAAAGCCTACAATTTTCCTTCTCAGCACCACAAATGCAGAGGGAAGATCAGATATAGCATCAGGCTGTTTGCTCTTCCAGCCCAGCATCCTTTGGAATCACTCACCAATCTCGCCTTGGTTGTTCAGGTCGAACTCCATGTACTTCTCTGAAAGAAACACAGAATCAAGTTAGCAGGACACTGGAGCAGGGGGTGTGCAGGGCTTTGGAGCACTGCCTGCTTAAATGAAATCAAAGATTTGTGGATAAGATTGATATACAGCTCAATGCAAACTTCAGAGAGGGAAACCATCTCAAGGTTTGGTTTTAGTTCTCTTATCTCAACTCTAGGGCTCTAGAGTTAAGTGCTCTGTAATTGTGGCTGCTTTTCATTTAAGCTGGAGGAAAACACTGGCATGAGAACAAGGTATCAGCTAGTCATGAACAGCACTAAAAGGTTTCCAGCCAGAAAAACAAAGCTCTGGAACAACCTCCCAGAAGGAGTAGCAAGGAAAACAAACCCCTGAGCACTCCCAAGATGAAGCTTGATCGGATTAGGAGGGGGATTAAATGACGCAGTTGCCTGCAATAACGAGGGACAGACTCCACACTCCTCCCAAGGCTGTGCACACTCCCAGCGCGGCACCTGCCAGAAGAGATGCTCAAGGACCACATCAAGAGGCTGAAGCCAACAACATGCCTAGGAGCAGTGATGCTGGAAGGAGGTTGCTTGCCCTTCAGGCCTGTTGTCAAACATTGCTGACTTGAGCAACTCTAGCATTCTCAGAGAAAGGCAGAGCCTGCTCCAGGTGTGCTTTGCACTATGAAAACCCCCATGCTGTAACAGCCAGAGAGCACTGATTTGAGTTAAAAAACTCAGGATTTCAGACACATGTTGCCTCTGACCTCTGGAGTGGCACACCTGGGCTTCCCACCCTCCCTCTCCCTTGCTAGCTGTTCCCCATTTAGACTTTAAGCTCTTCAGGCAAGGATTTGTCTGTCTTACAGACCATACAGCTCCCAGCACCACAGGGGGCCCCCCATCATCTCAGTTCTGCTAAATGAAAAGAGCAAGATGCCTGCTGCCACCATCCATCCACGCTGAGCTGGAGAAATCTCCATTTGCCCTGCAGTTAGCACTCGCTCCCCACAACAGCCTCAGAGGACTCAAATTAAGTTGAGCCCTTCCAGGCTGCTCCTTTCCCCCAGGAAGGAAAATGGAAAAGACCTTTTGTCTCTGCTCCAGGGACACTAGCAAGCAGATGAGCGTGAACAGAGAAGTGGCAGGGTAATTTAAGGAGCCAAAGGGAAGAGTGGTTATTTCACACATTGGAGTCTTCCCAGGACCTGTGCTTCCAAATGAAATTGCTGGGTTAACTGGACTGATGGGCAGCTACAGGCGGGAGGCAGAGGAATAGCTTGGCATGTCTTCACCTGGGTCTCAGCCCATGGATTATTGCTGTCACAAACTGACCAGGACAAACCTACAGGAATACCACATATATACCAAAGCTGTTCAATGCTTCAGGCAGGAGTGTTTCCCTTCAAGCATCAAGAAACAGGTCCTAGATGAAATTGGGGCCATAACACAAGTGCTTAAGGGCCAAAACAATGCTTGATGTGGGACTGGCTCTCCCCACACTCTGCCCCATCATATTGACCTTCTGCAAATGAACTGCTGCCTCCCTGGGCAGGGGTCAGACACCCCAGCATGTGCCTGGGGACACAAACCCTGTTCTGCCATGTCTGTGCCCAGCACATGTTTTCTTTTCTTCTCAGCTGACACTTCACCAAAAATACAAAGAACAGAGGCAGCTTTACATCAGCCTCAGCTCACACATTCATCTTTCTCTCCCACCCTAGCAGCAAGGATTTAGTGGGGCAAAACCACGCATGGTCCCCCCTTCCAAATACATTTACACAAACACTGCACAGGGACTGCTCAAGCCTGGGTGGGGGACGAGCAGGAAGGACATCAGAGAAGAAACACTCCCCTCATCATCACACAATGAGCTGATTGTCGGGGGAGCTGGAGAAGGCGTTGGAGAGAGGGACAGGCCACAGAGGCAAACTCACGAGGCAGTGGGACGAGATGCCAAAGGCTCTCGTTACAGGGAATTCTGCGCCTGTGACCTACAGTTGCAATGTTTGAAGAGCCCCAATTGTGATGGGAAAAAATAATGCGGGGCTGCAGCCAAAAGCCAAAGCCACACAAAAGGCAACAGAAAAAGAACGGGGAGCACAGGAGGCTCCTCTGTGCCCAGCAGGGTAAGGGATCACAAAACCCCAGCCAGCTTCTTCCATGTTGGATTGCAAAGCCAAAATTCAAAGGGAAATAGCAGACAATGCCTGAAATGTAAGCAAGGTCAGATTCTATTTGGTTAGAGCCAGGCTGAGGACAAACCTCGAGGGCAGTGTGACGCAGTGGCATGTTTTCTGAACTGCCTTCAGCCACTGCTTGGAAAGAAAGTGGATGCAC